TTGGTGATCACGGATAGCACTGCGCTGAATAACCTGTGGCTTGTGTGCCAGCCCCTCCACTCACTCCTTAAGGTATGTGACCCCCATAATAACCCTGGCCTTGGACTTTCCTTCCTGGAGCCTGCAGAACGAGGAGAGATGTGTGGGCATGTGGCCAGCTCTGGCCTGGCATGCAGACAGGCCTGTGGGGTGGGGTGGGAGGTGGGGGCAGGCCCTCCCTGAGCCAGGTGGGACAGATTCCTACTGTGTCCCTCTGGTGAGTGAGGAGCTATGGGGTGAGTTTCAGAGGGTTGCAAGGTCACCCAGCCCCCATGTTCCTGGCAAATGCCCTTATGTGGTCTGGAGAGAGGAAACCTGTACTGTGCCACCTGGGCTCTGCCCATTTTTTTGTAATCCTGTTCCTCTAGGAAGCCCGCCGGGATCTCTGCTCCAACACACTTTGCTATATTGGCCACTGGTTTAGCACCCATGGTGGTTGGTTCTCTTCTTGCGGGGCAAAACCCATGATGATTGAGAAAATGAGTTCTGGAGTCAGGAGGCTGATTTTGGTCCCAACTTCCCAGCACCTCCACCCTTGTAACTCCTGTGGCTCTGTGTCCTCATCTGAAAGCAGACTAAGAAGACGAATAATAAGGCCAGGCACGGTGGCTCATGCCTGTAATCCCAGCACTTTGGGAGGTCGGGACGGGTGCATCACTTGAGGTTAGGAGTTCGAGAGTTCGAGACCAGCCTGGCCAACATGGTAAAACCCCATCTCGACTAAAAATACAAAATTTAGCTGGGCATGGTGGCACGTGCCTGTAATTCTAGGTACTCGAGAGGCTAAGCCGGGGAATCGCTTGAACCAGGGAGGCAGAGGTTGCGGTGAGCTGAGATCGCCCCACTGCACTCCAGCCTGGGTGATAGAGCGAGACCCTGTCTCAAAAGAAAAAAAAAAAGCCAGGCATGGTCCCATGCCTGTAATCCCAGCACTTTGGGAGGCTGAGGCGGGTGGATCACCTGTGGTCAGGCATTCGAGACCAGCCTGACCAACATGGTGAAACCCTGTTTCTACTAAAAACACAAAAATTAGCTGGGCGTGGTGACACGAACCTGTAATCCTAGCTACTCAGGAGGCTGAGGCAGGAGAATCACTTGAACCTGGGAGGCGGAGGTTGCAGTGAGCTGAGATCGCGCCATTGCACTCCATCCTGGGTGACAGAGTGAGGCTCCATCTCAAAAAATAAATTAAAGAAAACAAGAAAAGTATAATAGTAATGGCAACAAATTCACGGGAAGGTCTTGTGTGGTCTCAGAGACATAATGCAAATGGGGTTAGACCCTGTGTCTGGCACAAGAAATATAAGCTGGTGTGAGAAAATGACCCATCTATGGGAATGCCTGGGCCACAGGCAGTTGCAGCCACCTCTGAAGGGAATTAGGCCGAATTCCCAGGAACTCGGCAAATCATCCACCCTCAGAACTGAGTTTTCTCTAGAAAATGAGGGTGCTAATGATATGTATCCCACGGGTTTGATGTGAGAATTAAATGAGACCAAGCACATATTGCCTTGCGTTTACACTGTGGTCTTGTTGATATTATTAGTTATCCGTGTTGATAGTTGTGAGCATCCTTCCAGACACTGGCACGATGTGGTGCATGCAGCTGGTGCTTAGTGACTGCAAATGGATTGACGGACAGGGCCAAGTGTGAAGTAGAATCTGGGCTGGGTGTGGGTGGCTCATACCTGTAATCCTAGCACTCTGGGAGACTGAGGCAGGAGGATTGCTTGAGCCCAGGAGTTTGAAACCAGCCTGAGTTTGAAACCAGCCTGGGTATAAGCAAGATCTCTACTAAAAAAAAAAAAAAAAAAAAAAAAAAAGGTAGAATCTGGAGGAGGCACTGATAGAGGGTGCAGCCCTTAGGGAGAATAAAGGGAAAAAGCCTGATGTGACCTCACCTGTGGGTTTTTTGTTTTGTTTTGAGACAGAGTATTGCTCTGCGGCCCAGGCTGGAGTACAGTGGCATGATCACGGCTCACTGCAGCCTTGACCTCCTGGGCTCAAGTGATTCTCCTACCTCAGCCTCCAGAGTAGCTGGGACCACAGGCGCACACCATCATGTCCGGCTAATTGTTGTATTTTTAGTAGAGACGGGGTCTCGCTGTGTTGCCCAGGATGGCCTTGAACTCTTGGGCTCAAGTGAACCTCCTGCCTTAACCTCCCAAAGTTCTGGGATTACAGGCATGAGCCCCCACACCCAGCCCTAACCTGTGGTTTTATAGTCAGCTACAGCTTAATTCTGGGAGATGATGGGCCTTATCCCACACACCATGGCAAGGACGTGACACAGCAGGAGGCAGACCCACTTCCCCTGACTCTCAGGGCAGCAACCTTCACCCTGACCTTCAGCCCCATGCAGGAAGCGGCCCGTGGGGGCGAGATACAGTGTCCATCTGTGGCCAGAGCCCTTGCACATTTTTGACATTTTTGCATCTTGGGACAAAAGGCGAAGAAACTCAGATGAACTGGTTCTTGTTTCCTGGTGGAAAAACATTCCTGCTCTGATGGAATCTTCACTGTTGTGTGGTTTTGCCTGTGTTTGTGTCTCTCCCTCACTACCCTACAGTTCAGCAGTGGCTACTCTAGAAAACTCATAGAGGGTAGATCCAGGAATGATTTCTGGGATTGTCTGAGGATATTTAAGGGGCCAGAGGGCTCCCTGCACCACTGATGCTAGCCCTGGATCTCCTGCCCCTTCTGCCATTGGACTTGCCCTGAATGAGTGAACAAGTGAAAAAGCAGACATTTGCTGGACAGCTGCTGCCCTCCAGGCACTGGTGTGCTGGTGTTCCACTGTCTGGGGGCTGAGAGCCACTCAAAGCATTCGTATTGGGAAGTTGGCAGGGATGGTCTGGTCAACAGCATGGGCGTTGGCATTGGAGTCAGATGAACCTGCCTTTGTCAGTCCCTAAATAGGGTGGCCTTGGACACACCTGCCTGAACCTGTTTCCTCAACTGCAAAATGTGAATAAAGATAGCACAGTGTGGCCGGTGAGGACTGAGCAAGGAAGTGGCTCTAGCACTTGGCACAGAGTTGGCCCTTAAAAGCAGGCTTTAGACCAGGTAGACCAAATTGAAATCTAGATCCAGCTATGAGTCCCTTAACTTCTCTGAGTCTTTTTTTTTTTTTTTTTCTGAGGCAGAGTCTCGCTCTGTCACCCAGGTTGGAGTGCAGTGGCCAGATCTCAGCTCACTGCAAGCTCTGCCTCCCAGGTTCACGCCATTCTCCTGCTACAGGCTCCCGCCACCTCGCCTGGCTAGTTTTTTGTATTTTTTTAGTGGAGACGGGGTTTCACTGTGTTAGCCAGGATGGTCTCGATCTCCTGACCTCGTGATCCGCCCGTCTCGGCCTCCCAAAGTGCTGGGATTACAGGCTTGAGCCACCGCGCCCGGCCAACTTCTCTGAGTCTTGATCACTCCCTCTGTAAAATGGTAGAGTAATAGTGGTGGTTTCCTCTTACAGTTGTTGTGAGGATTTAGGTGAATTCACACATACGATGCATTTATAATGCAGGGAATCTAGTGCATAGCAACCACCTGCATTAGCTGCCTAGGACTGCTGTAATGAAGCACCTCCAACTGGGTGGCTTCAAACAACAGAAGCTTGTTCTCTCACAGTTCTGGATGCTAGAAGTTTGAAATCAGGGTGTGGGCGGGGCCACTTTCCCTCTGAAGACTCTAAGGAAGAATCCTTTCTTGCGTCTTAGCTTCTGCTGGTGGTCAGGGATGCTTGTTGCTCCTCAGCTTCTAGCTGCACCATCTTTACCCACCACTTCCTGTGTGTCCCGGCTTTTTTTAGACAGGATCTCACTCTGTTGCTCAAGGTGGAGTGTAGTGGCCCGATCATAGTTCACTGCAGCCTCATCCTCCCACCATGGCTGGCTAATTAAAAAATTTTTTTTTAAATTTAAATTAATTTATTATTTATTTATTTTTTAATAGAGATGGGGTCTTGCTATGTTGCCCAGGCTGGTCTTGAACGCCTGGCCTCAAGCGATCCTCCTGCCTCAGCCTCCCAAAGTGCTAGGATTACAGGTGCAAGCCACTGCACCTGGCTTTTAGTTTCTTTTTTAGAGACTGGATGGGTCTCAGTATGTTGTCCAGGCTGATCTTGAACTTCTGGGCTCAAGCCATCTCCCTGTCTCAGCCTCCTAAAGCACTGGGATTACAAGTGTGAGCCACTGTGCCCAGCCCCTATCCTCTTCTAATAAGGACACCAGTCATTAGACTTAGGGCCTACCCTAATCTAGTATGACCTCATCTTACTGCTTAGATTTGCAAAGACCCTATTTCCACAAATGGTCACATTCTGTGTCTCTGGGTGGACTTGAATTTTGGGGGAACACTGTTCAACTCACACCACCACCTAATCAATAGTAGCTATTACGAATACTCCTCTTACGACAGAATTTGCTCAATACACACTATGTGCTGGGCACTCCTCCAAACTCCTTTTATTCCTCTTCCCATTTAATCCTCTCCGTGACTCTGTGAAGTAGGTACCAGGATTATCTCTGCCGAGGGCCAGAGAGGTGAGCTGATTTGCCCAGGGTCACACATGTTAGCAAGTGGTAAATCTGGGGTTGGGACTCTTTTCTCTCTGACTCCAAAGCTAGCAAGGTTTTGAGACCCTCCAATCCCGTCCCAAGAGCTTAGAGTCAGCTGCACATTCTGTCCCGGAATCCCAGGCATCAGAGATACGCTCTTTCCGGGCCCACACCTCCTTCCAGACACATCTTCCCCAGAGAGGCCATAAAAAGCGGGGGGAAAGGAATCTTGTCTTTATAATGGCCAACATGGAGTTGGCCTGCTCCTGCCTTGGACCGCTCGTGGCCGGCTCTCCTGTGGGTCGAAAGCGGTATGACTCCCATGCATGGCAGAGCTTGCCAGGAGTGTATACTTCATGCCTGACATCTGGTAACATTTTGGGAGTCTTGACTTGGGGCTACAAATGGAAAAATGGTTCATGAAGGTGTGATTTATTCATCATCAAGATAATGCTATTAAATAAATGCTCACAACGATTCGCTCCATCGGGTCAGGGAGCCCTGACTTCCCGGGCCAGGCCTGGCGAAGGCCCTGGCAGGACGAGGCTGTTTCTTTGACGCTGAGGAGAGCGTGGAGGCGTGCTGAGGCCGGACTGGGGCCTGATGGAGGCAAACAGTCACGCTGCCGGATGATGAACGGCAGTTTACATTTTAACATGCCTGTGTCTTGGACGTGGAGTAACTGGCTTTGGCTGATCGGGGGTGGGTGCAGTTAGGAGCCTCTCACAGCCGTGAGCTGGAGAAGAAAGGAAGGTCATTTCCAGAGACTGGGGCTTTGGGGCCAGGAAATAGTTGCTCTGTCAGCAGGGAGAGCCAGTGGGTGGGTTGGAGGCCCCTGAGAGAGATCAGGGGCTCCTGAAGGGCAAAGCCAGGCTGCCTACCTTTGCAGGTGTGTCCACCTTAGCTGGCAAGGGTGTCAGAACTAGCCACATGGCAGAGAGCAGTGCCCCAAAGCCAGGCTGCCTGGGTTCAAATCCTGCCTCCCTCACTGACCAGCTGGGCCTGGGACAGTCCCTCCCTAACATAGGGACCATTACAGGGCCCACCTCAGAGGCATCTGTGGGCATCGCAGGGGCACATGGCCCTAGGGGTCTTCACTAAGTGTTAACTGCAGTTGTCACGGTGGTGATGGTATCTAGAGAAGAGTGGAGGCTGGGATGCAGAGAGAAGCAGCCCTGCTGTCTTCTGGCTGTAGATCAAGGACAAGAGTTACCTTGTCTTCTGCACAGCAAGTAGGAGCCTTCTCCTGGACCTGCCTCAGGGCAATGGGGACATCCACCGGTCCGGCTCTCAGCACATTCAATGCTGGGATTGGTTACCACCCAGCTTGGACAGCCCACATAAGCAGCATCACTGGGCTTACCCCCAAATCTCTAAGCACTACAGGTGAGTTGCCATGGGCTGGCAAGCAGTCCCCGCACCTGTGGACATCGAGGATCTGTCTTCACATCCCCTTCTGCCCACATGGCTCCAGACCAGGAGGAGATGGGAGGACAGGTGTGCACCTCTATGGGCAGCCAAGCCTGGGGTGGTGGGTGGGGAAGGTGTCAAGTCTGATGCATGTCTGTTAGGGTTCCGGGCACTGTGACGTGCATCCAGGTGGAAAGTCCATTCTCCTAACTTGGAGTCTGGCATCTGTTACAGCATGAGAGCTGGGACCTGACCCTTCCCCTGTGTCCTTGTTACCCCCAGGACTGGCCACTGACAGAGCTGTGGTCAGGCTGTGGGACTCGGGCCAGCTGGTCGCAGCCTTCCCACAAGAGTCAGTTACTGGGGCTATCAGATGCTGTAGCTGTTGGTTTGTTTCTCTGTGGTGCCAAACTGGGCCAGCTTTTAGGCAAGAGCAACCTCATGGGGAACATAATCAACGAGAAAAGGATGGCAGAATGTGGCCTGGGGGTTGCCCAGTGGAGGGCAGAGAGTGCTAGGTTGCCTGGCCATGACGCCTCTTCAGCACTGAGCTCAGCAGGGGGCTCCAACCCCTTTCACTGCAGGACTCTGCTGGCTTCTGACCAGAGGTAGCTCTAAGCACACTGGTCCTTTGGAGCCCCAGGAGGAACTGACTGGGGTAAAGAGGATGGAGGTAGGGCTTCACCTTGGTGAGGGGCTTTCCTAGGGGGACAGCCAGGTGCTTGGCCTTGTGACAGCTGCTCAGTGAGGGTTATTCACAGCCCCATTGGGACTTGCTGATTGGGCTTCACTTCCTGATTCTGTGATATTCACATGGCTCCAGTTAGTAGTTCCATCCATCCATCCATCCATCCATCCATCCATCCATCCAGTCGCCCACCCACCCACCTACCCATCCATCCATCTACCCACCCATCCACCTAATCATCTACTCATCCACCTATCCATCCATCCATCCATCCATCCATCCATCCATCCATCCATCCATCTATCTCTTCTTCCTTCCACCCATCCATCTATCCATCCACCAATTTACCCACCCACACACTCACTCATTCATCCATCCACCCATCCATCCATCCATCCATCCATCCATCCATCCATCCATCCACCCACCCACCCATTCATTCACCCACCCATTCATCTATTCACCCACCCAACTATCCTTCCATCCATCTATCCATCTACCCATCTACCCATCCATTCATTTTCGTGATCCTCACAATTAGCCTGTATGTTGGGGATGTGCTGTTATGCCCATTTTCAGATGAGGGTATGCACATACAGATTAAGAACTGGTCTGAGGGCAGAGCTAATGAGTGGCTGTATTAGTTATCTATTGCTATTAGTTATCTATCTATTAGTGGCTAGAGACTGATTTCAGTTCTTTTCTATGTGGGTATCTCCAGCATGGCAGCTTGCTATGTCAAAGCAAGAAAGCCAAGAAGTGTGTGTGTGTGTGTGTGTGTGTGTGTGTGTGTGTGTGTGTGTGTGTACGTTCACATGAGAGAGAGGGAGAAAGAGAGGTGGAAGTCACTGTCTTTTATAACCTAATCTCGGAGGTGACATCCTGTCCCTTTTGCCATATTCTCCTCATTAGAAGTGTCCACCCATGACCAGGCATGGTGGTTCATGCCTGTAATCTGAGAACTGTGGGAGGCTGAGGCAGGTGGCTCACTTGAGGTCAGGAGTTTGAGACCAGCCTGGCCAACACGGTGAAACCCTAAACAACCCAAATACAACTAAACATGACCCTAAACAACTAAAATACAACTAAAATAAACCCTAGACAACTAAAAACACAAAAATTAGCCAGGCATGGTGGTGCACGCCTGTAGTCCCAGCTACTCAGGAGGCTGAGGCAGGAGAATCACTTGAAGCCAGGAGGTGGAGGTTGCAGCGAGCAGAGATCGCACCACTGCACTCCAGCCTGGGTGTCAGGGTAAGACTCTGTCTCAAAATAAATCAAATAAATAAATAAATAAATAAATAACAGAAGTGTCCACCCACACTCGTGCCAGGAGGTGGGATCACTGGAGGCCATGCTAGAAACTGCCTACCACAAGGCCAAGCCAAAGTTTGAACCCGGTCGGATCTGACTTAAAACCTGTCCTCCCGGAGGAAGCCAACTATAGAGCCTTGTTCTTCCCCAGTCCCAGAGACCAGCCACCTGTCTGCTGCCACGCAGGGTTGGAATTTAATCACACATTAGCCTCACTTCATGGGTGTTTACTGAGCGCCTACTATGTGCCAGACACAGTGCTCCACAGGATGGTGCGGTGCCTGCCCAGGGGAGTGCACTGCTGGTGACAGATACCCGTGCTGTACATTTACTCACCTGCCACGTGGGTCTGCAGAGAACACGTCTTTCTTTTTTTTTTTTTTTTTTTTTTGAGACGGAGTCTTGCTCTGTCGCCCAAGCTGGAGTGCAGTGGTGCAATCTCGGCTTACTGCAAGCTCTGCCTCCCGGGTTCACGCCATTCTCCTGCCTCAGCCTCCTGAGTAGCTGGGACTACAGGCGCCCGCCACTGCGCCCGGCTAATTTTTTCTATTTTTAGTAGCGACGGGGTTTCACCATGGTCTCGATCTCCTGACCTTGTGATCCACCCGCCTCGGCCTCCCAAAGTGCTGGGATTACAGGCGTGAGCCACCGCGCCCGGCCCACGTCTTTCTTTATTTCCTGCAACTGATCTGATATTTCTCACAAAGCCTACTCATAGGGCAACAAGGAAAAAAACTAGATTTAATTTAATCTGATCCAGTACTTTAGAGGCCTTTGGTAATGCTTGGTCTCAAATTTCCTTCTGCTCCTCCCAGCTTTTCTCTAAGCTGGCACTGGGTGGGTGGGGGTGGGGGTGTCCGGTTGTGGATGACGAGACTTCCCAGGAGGAGAGGGGTTTGGGTTTCCAGCCATGTCTGATGCCCAGGATTGCTGTTTGACTTTCTGGCATTTTGGCCGAAACCAGCAGCTGGTAAAACTCATGCTCTGGGCCTAGGCCTGCCTGGCTGACTTGGCCCTACCTTGGCTCAGAGCTCCCTCTTCTTCTCTTTTTTTTTTTTTTTTTTTTTTTTGAGACGGAGTTTCTGCTCTTGTTGCCCAGGCTGGAGCGCAATGGTGCGATCTCGGCTCACTGCAACCTCTGCCTCCCGGGTTCAAGTGATTCTCTTGCCTCAGCCTCCTGACTAGCTGGGATTACAGGTGCCCGCCACCATGCCTGGCTAATTTTTGTATTTTTAGTAGAGATGGGGTTTTGCCACGTTGGTCGGGCTGGTCTCCAACTCCTGACCTCAGGTGATCCACCTGCCTTGGCCTCCCAAAGTACTGGGATTACAGCCTTTTTTTTTTTCCCCAGAGCATTTCTGAATCTACTCTCTACTGCGTCTGACCCTTACCTGGGCCATCTACTCCCAGACCCTTCTGCAGGTCCCTCTGCCCCTCACCTTAATGAGGTGTCACCTACTGAGCAAGAATGCATTGAGCCCATCCTGGCCCGGAGAGGACCCAGTGCAGCCAAGGAAAGTGACACACCAGAGCTTCCTTCCTTTCCACTTGCTGCACCTCCAGAGGCCCCACCCCTAAGCTGCTGGAGGGTGGTCTCAGAACACTTTCCTCCCAAGCCCCCAGAGGGTCAGTGCACAGCAGTGGCTTCTAAACCTACTGTCTCGTAGCAAAGTCTGTGTTGATGATCAGGAACTGGATCTGCCATGGTCCTCTTTATTCCTTCTGTACAAATTCAAATATTTCCCAGGTAGCCAGGTGCCTCAGGCCTGAGAGGGGAAGCGCTACTTACCCAGAAAGGCCAAAGAGGAAAGCCCGCTAATATTTTTCGAGCTATTAATATTACCTGTTACCAAAATGATCACACACGTGATTAGTCACGATCGTGGAACAAGTGCCGAAGAAAAAACCTAAGAGTAATGAGGGTGTAAGGAGAGCGGCCTGACCTAGCCCGGGGCTCAGGAGAGGTGGTCCTGAACCAGGGTTGGGTAAGGGGATCCAGAAGGAAGAGTAGGGTGGCTGGGTGAAGAGGGGAGTGTGTATGTGCATGTGTGAGTGTGTGTGTGTGTGTGTGTGTAAGTGTGCGCCATGTGTGCATATATGAGCACACGTGTGCATGTGTGTGCACGTGTGAGCATGCATGTGCGAATGTGTGTGCTATGTGTGCATATGTGTATTATGTATATGTGAGCATATGTGTGCACATGTATGTGTGTGACTGTCCTGTGTGTGCATGTGAGCAGGTGCTGTGTGTGCACATGTGAACACATACGTGCATGTGTGCATGTGAATGCATGTCAAGTGCATGCGTGAGCTATGTGTGGTGTGTGCATGTGTGTGTGCAGCCTCATCATTTCCCGAATTTTTTTTTTTTTTTTGAGATGGAGTCTCATTCTGTCGTCCAGGCTGGAGGGCAGTGGCTTGGTCTTGGCTCACTGCAACTCCACCACCCGTGTTCAAGTGATTCTCGTGCCTCAGCCTCCCAAGTAGCTAGGATTACAGGCGCCCACTACCACACCCCGCTAATTTTTGTATTTTTAGTGGAGGTGGGGTTTTGCCATGTTGGCCAGGCTGGTCTTGAACTCCTGACCTCAAGAGATCTGCCCGCCTTGGCCTCCCAAAGTGCTGAGATTACAGGCGTGAGCTACTGTGCCTGGCCATTTCCCCTGATTTGAGGCACTCCATTCTCTGAGTCTGGATTGCTGGGTGGGTGTGTGTGGGAGAGGAACCGCACTGAGGAGAGGGAATCGGATTCTCTGAGGATGAAGTGCAAAGGCTGGGGCCTCTGCGGGAAGCAGCTTTGCCTGTTCACGGGAAGCAGCTTCTGGAGCCTGAGTGGTTGGCACCACCAGGGACTGCAGTGGTGGCAGCAGCAGGGGCAGGAGGAGGAAGGGCACTGTGTCCCCCATTAGGAATGTCCTCCTCTCTTTCCTGCTGGGCTCAGAGCTGAGAACCAGGATACAGGTGGCCAG